CTCTGGGTTCTCCTCACCCTTTTGCTGCTCCTTGGTTGCTGCACCACTCTCCTTAGGTTCACTGAACTTGCTGGTCCCTCCAGGTTTGCTCTTCTTGAGCTCATTCTCCTTAGCGCGACCGTTCGCGCCATCGTCGCTACCGACCGCTCCATCCTTGGTGCTGATGCTTGCTGCCACTTGCCTCTCCTTAGGCATAGGGACCACTGGGATCTGCCACATCTCGTTGTAGACATCCCTGTCCTCATGAAGGTCCCAAAGAATTCGATCGCCAAGCCTTGCGGTGTAGGTCTTGGCTCCCTTCGAGTTCGTGTCCATGCCGGCCTTTGCCAACCGCCGCACGGAAATCAGGTTTGCAGCAAGGCTGGGCACCCAAAGCACGTTCTTGAGGCCCACCATCTTCCCATCAGCACCCTTGAACATGGCCTTGCCCATGCCTTTCACCTCTGCTCGCTGCCCCAAAGCCGATGTGACATGCTTCACCGGTGACGGCTCGAGTTCGGTGAGCAAGTCCGGGCGAGGTGTCATGCTATAGGTAGCGCCACTATCAATCACCCAATAGTCCAGGGGGTGTAGGGTCACCTTCCCCACAGCTGCTGGCTCCTCAAAGCCTTCATCCTTCTCTGGACCAGCCGGTACTTGCGTCGACACGAAGTAGAATAGACCCGGGTATCGATCGTCGCTCGGGTCCTTGTCGTTGTCTCCGCTCTTCATGTTTGCAGCTCCGCCACCGCGACCGCCACGGCCTCCACGGCCTCGTCCTCTCCCTCCTCCTGCTCCTCTACCCTCTTGGCCTTGAGCAGGGGTCCAACCATCAGGGAGTTTGTAGCATTCGCGCCACATGTGTCCGCTCTTGTGGCAATAGTGACACTCGCCGTCGAATCGGCCGCGACCGCGTCCGTAGCTCTTGTCGTCGCTGCCGTAACCGCCACTCCTGCGGCCTCCGCCGAAGTTGCTGCCACCAAACCTTCTTCCCCCTAGTCCTCTGCCTCTTCCTCGACCATATCCACGGCCGATGCTCGCTGCCCCAGCGCCATCCGCACTCGCCAACTCACGGCGGCGGAAATCCTCTTGAAGGATAGCTCGCTTCACGTCTTCAAGCGAGAGGCGGGGCAAGTCGCGATTAAGGTTGATGATGAGCGAGGACCATGACTCTGGGAGTAAGGCCAACAACTTGGTCTTCTTTTGGAGCTCACTGTAGTTCAAATCAGCTCCCTCAAGCCGCGTCAACAAGTCGAAGAATTTCTGCACCCCTTCTTCAACCGCTTCGTCTTCTTCAATTCGTAGTGCCACCATTTGCCGTTCCAACACCACCGCTACCGCCGCTGTTGCAGGAGCATGTACACCCTTGAGAGCAGCCCATGCCTTTGGTCCTTTCTCTGGTTCACGCTGGAATGGCTTGATGTGACGGATCTGACTGCTCCCCAACGCTTGCCCAAGTAAGAGATAGCCTTGTGCGCTCTTCCGCACCCACGGGCTCTTCTCCGGGTCGTTCTCGGGGCGCTTCTCCGTTCCTTCCATCACCTCCAGCAGGTCATAGTGGTCAAAGATGTTCTCCATCTTGAAGGACCATTCAGCAAAGTTGTCACCGTTGAACTTGTCAAGCCCAAACACCCTAGGCTCATCCCTAGGTGGGCCAAGACTTGGTTGCATGGGCGCCATGGCTGAATCACGGGGTTGGCCTTGAGCTTGAGCTTCTCCACTGCCACCAGCACCTCTGCCACCCCTTTCCTCAGGTCCAGACATTGTCGAAACTGCTCCAAGGGGCTCTGATACCACTTGTTATAGTCACAATAGGCTTGAATGTGCCTAAAACGAAAGATAGAGAGCACAGACGGATTTCTGCACAGCGGCTTCAAACGTTGATAGCGTTCTGCTCACAGCTGCAAATGACTTGATTCAAATTGGATCTGGAGCGTCTTTATGTCTTCTACAATTAGCAATTTAGATTGCACGATTTGATAAAGAATTGACGACACAGCGTCGGTTTGAACGAACGGTACTATGGCAGCCACTATAGTCTTAGAACACAAGATAGGAAGAGTTACGAGTTGGGAATGACTCCCAGCTCCTACAAACCCCAAGAGCCGAGGTACAGTGATGTGGAACAGTGCCACACTGTCCCCAACCACGAAGGGTCTCGAAACTACCCTTCACTAGGGCCTACACCAAGTGAAATGTTACACTACACAAAGTAATGTAACTATCTTCAATATCTTGAGGTGTACCCTTTTGGCAAGCTTCGAAATCACTTGAGGCTTGACACCAAGGCTCGGGCTCTTCATCACAAACTCATCCTTGAGTTCTTGATGGGTCTGCTGCACACACCTGCGACACGCCGAACGTTCGACACAGGACAAAATAGAAACCGCGCACGACAAAATAGAAACCGCGCGCGAGACACAAACGACCGCGTAACACGCGTCTAGCGATAACTCGCTATTGACTCCACACACACACTCGACATCATGACTCAACATTCACACACAATTATAAGCATGAAATATATATTATCCCATGCCCTCATACCATTCTATACACACACACATTCACGCACACGGACAACAAGCCGAGTGCAAACCGTAGGGTTGCACCAACACATTGCACCCTACCCTACGCTGGTCACGCATTACAAGATACGGCAAGTCTCAAGTAGAGTCGTGATAAATGCTGGTTTACTTAATTAGATATTTGCCACACTGCACGCTCGTTCAGAAGAATGGCTAAACCAGAAGGTCAATAGCGCCTGGGAGTATCCTGAACACTGCAGGCAGGTGCCCCAGCGCCTCCCCGTCCCCCTCCACATACACCTCCTGGCTGGCCTCGTTATTGTCACCCTCTACTGCTCCCACCTTCATTTCAATCACCTCGGCACTGGGATGAGCAGGAGGGAAAGGGGTGAGCAACACACGAGAGAAGATAATAAGAGTGCCGCGATTGTGGTGTCATCGTATCACCTTTGGTAGTTCTCGAAAGTGCTCCGATTCTTGTGCACCAATTTAGAGCCGTCTCAAAAGTCGAATTCCGTGCACAGGTTGCAAACGTCTACACCTCCCAACCGCAATAACAAAACATACGGCGGATGTGCCTTCATACCACTCGTTCTCCGATCCCCTTTCCCACTGCACCAAGCATTTTCCCACTGCATCCCTCACTCTCCCTCTGCACACCTAGCTCCAAATCTGCACCTCTCTCATTCTCCCACATCACCTCTCGATATTCCACTGCACTGCTGATTCTCCTACTGCACCGCTCATTCTCCCTCTACACCTCTCATTCTCCCACTGCAACTCTCATTCTCCCTCTTCACATCTCATTCTCCCACTGCAACTCTCATTCTCCCTCTTCACATCTCATTCTCCCTCTTCACCCCTCATTCTCCCACTGCACCCCTCCTTCTCCCACTGCATCCCTCATTCTCCCTCTGCACCTCTCATTCTCCCACTGCACCTCTCATTCTCCCACTGCACCACTCATTCTCCCACTGCACCTCTTTCTCCCACTGCACCGCTCATTCTCCCACTGCACCGCTCATTCTCCCACTGCACCTGTAATTATCTACGCCTTTGAAGCCCAAGTGGGTGCCGGAAAACAGGTGCAATCCCCGCAGGATGAATCCTAGCACGGTGTAACCTGCTACGGTTACCACCTGGGATGGGATGGGTACACAACACAACAGGAGAGGCATCGAATGCAGGAGAGCACGGTGGTGTAGGCAGGTAGGGCCAGAACCATGCAAAGCGGGCATGGTGTAACCAGATGTGGTTACCATCTGGAGTAGTGTGGAGGGTTGGAGGGGAAGCATGAGAGTAGGCAAGCACAGTGTAACCGGATATGGTTACCACCTGGGAGGCATGCATGAGGAGAGGAAGACAGTGGGTCAGAGCATGAAACCTAACACAGTGTGATCGAATGTGGTTACCACCTGGGATGGGATGGGTCAAGCGTGTAAAGAGCGGTTAAGAACGCAAGAGGGGAGGCATGAGTGTAGGCAGAGATCAACCGGGGCATAAAACCTAGCACAGTGTAACCAGATATGGTTACCACCTGGGATGGGATGGGTCAAGCGTGTAAGAGCGGTTAAGAACGCAAGAAGGGAGGCATGAGTGTAGGCAGAGATACACTGGGGCATGAAACCTAGCACAGTGTAACCAGATATGGTTACCACCTGGGATGGGATGGGTCAAGCGTGTAAGAGCGGTTAAGAACGCAAGAAGGGAGGCATGAGTGTAGGCAGAGATACACTGGGGCATGAAACCTAGCACAGTGTAACCGGATGTGGTTACCACCTGGGATGGGATGGGTCAAGCGTGTAAAAGGTAAGCGTGTAGACATGGCTACGAGAGCATGCAGCCATGAACAGTGTGAACAGGAAACGGTTACCTGGGATGGGTAGGGTGGGCTTTCAAAGAGCGCAAGGAGGAGGAAAGGGAGACGTTCAAAGCGACGGTTTTTTAATCGACTCAGAAGGAATCTCCACGCAGGATGAATCCAAAGTCACTGCAGCCGAATATGGTCCCCACAATGCAGGGAGGGACCCATGAGTACCCACTGGGACCCACCGGGACCCACAGGGACCCACAGGGACCCACAGGGACCCGCAGGGGCCCACTGGGACCCACCGGGACCCACAGGGACCCACAGGGGCCCACTGGGACCCACGGGTACCCACTGGGACCCCTGGGACCCACGGGTACCCACAGGAACTCGAAGCGCCACCAATTCCCCTTTTCCTGCTTGCATTTAGGTGCCCACAGGGGGAACACGGAACCCTAAACCCTGAAACATAAACTTGAGACAGCATACGGAACCCCGACGATTGGATGGGATCACACCCCAGCGATTTTTTAGTCGACTAAAAAATGGATGAGATCACACCAACCTCGCATTTCCAACGCCCCCCACCCCCAAACGCACATCCAAGGATCCCGAGCTGGGATTCGCGCGTGGACAGATCTTCATCCCTCCCCCATAGTAGTTAGCGTTGCCCACCGCGATCGTGGTTACTGCTGGGAGGGTTTCCCAGGGGCCGTTGCCCCTCTGTGGGGTGTGCAGTGGAAAGGAGGGGAGGGTGGCGGAAGAGAAATGGGTGTAAAGCCAAAGTAGCTGCCATTGCCCACCGCGATCGTGGTTACTGCTGGGAGGGTTTCCCAGGGGCCGTTGTCCCTCTGCGGGCATGGAGAGGAGAAGGGGGGTTTGGTTGGGGTGGTAAAGGGAGTGACACGCAGGGAGATCTTCATCCCTCCCCCATAGCAGTTAGCGTTGCCCACCGCAATAGTGGTGACTGCTGGGAGGGTTTTCCAGGGGCCGCTGTCCCTCTGTGGGGTGTGCAGGCGAAAGGTGGGGAGGGTGGCGGAAGAGAAATGGGTGTAAAGCCAAAGTAGGTGCCATTGCCCACCGCGATCGTGGTGACTCCTGGGAGGGTACCCCAGGGTCCGTTGTCATTCTGTGGGCACGGAGAGGAGAAGCGGGGTGTAGTTGGGGTGGGAAGGGGAATATTAATGGAATATTTGATCATCCTTCCTCCAAAGTAGTTGGCTTGGCGCTGCCGATCGAAATCGTGGTGACTGCTGGGGGGGTTCCAAGGGGCAGTTGTCCCTCTGTGAGATGGGCAGGGCACAAGCGGGGTGGGAGGGTGACAAAGGATTTTCAGTGACTGCTAGGGGGAGTTTTTGGGGGGCACTGTCTCTCTGAGGGGTGTGCAGGGTGCAGGAGAGGAGGGAGTCGAGGGCAGCCGAAGGGAAAGAAGGGGTAGGGCCGAAACAGATAGCTATGCACCTGTTCTGGTGATGCTGGGAGGGTTTCCCAGGGGCCGCTGTCCCTTTGAGGGATGTGCAGGGTAAAGGAGGGGGCGGGGGGGCAGCTAAAGGAAAATGGGGGAAAGATCGAAACAGATAGTGGCGGTAAGTTCGAAACCAATAGTGGGGGTAAGGTCGAAACCAATAGTGGGGGTAAGGTCGAAACCAATAGTGGGGGTAAGGTCGAAACCAGTAGTGGGGGAAAGGTCGAAACCAATAGTGGGGGTAAGGTCGAAACCAATAGTGCGGGTAAGGTCGAAACCAATAGTGGGGATAAGGTCGAAACCAATAGTGGGGGTAAGGTCGAAAACATTAGTGGGGGTAAGGTCGAAATCAATAGTGGGGGCACGGTCGAAACCAATAGTGGGGGTAAGGTCGAAACCAATAGTGGGGGTAAGGTCGAAACCAATAGTGGGGGTAAGGTCGAAACCAATAGTGGGGGTAAGGTCGAAAACATTAGTGGGGGTAAGGTCGAAATCAATAGTGGGGGTAAGGTCGAAACCAATAGTGGGGGTAAGGTCGAAACCAATAGTGGGGGTAAGGTCGAAACCAATAGTGGGGGTAAGGTCGAAACCAATAGTGGGGGTAAGGTCGAAACCAGTAGTGGGGGAAAGGTCGAAACCAATAGTGGGGGTAAGGTCGAAACCAATAGTGCGGGTAAGGTCGAAACCAATAGTGGGGATAAGGTCGAAACCAATAGTGGGGGTAAGGTCGAAAACAATAGTGGGGGTAAGGTCGAAATCAATAGTGGGGGTAAGGTCGAAACCAATAGTGGGGGTAAGGTCGAAACCAATAATAGTGGGGGTAAGGTCGAAACCAATAGTGCGGGTAAGGTCGAAACTGATAATAGTGGGGGTAAGGTCGAAACCAATAGTGGGGGTAGGGTAAGGTCGAAACCAATAGTGCGGGTAATGTCGAAACCAATAGTAGGGGTAAGGTCGAAACCAGTAGTGGGGGTAAGGTCGAAACCAATAGTGGGGGTAAGGTCGAAACCAATAGTGGGGGTAAGGTCGAAACCAGTAGTGGGGATAAGGTCGAAACCAATAGTGGGGGTAAGGTCGAAACCAATAGTGCGGGTAAGGTCGAAACCGATAATAGTGGGGGTAAGGTCGAAACCAATAGTGGGGGTAGGGTAAGGTCGAAACCAATAGTGCGGGTAATGTCGAAACCAATAGTAGGGGTAAGGTCGAAACCAGTAGTGGGGGTAAGGTCGAAACCAATAGTGGGGGTAAGGTCGAAACCAATAGTGGGGGTAAGGTCGAAACCAGTAGTGGGGATAAGGTCGAAGCCAATAGTGGGGGTAAGGTCGAAACCAATAGCGGGGGTAAGGTCGAAACCAATAGTGGGGGTAAGGTCGAAACCAATAGTGGGGGTAAGGTCGAAACCAGTAGTGGGGATAAGGTCGAAGCCAATAGTGGGGGTAAGGTCGAAACCAATAGTGGGGGTAAGGTCGAAACCAATAGTGGGGGTAAGGTCGAAACAGATAGCCATGCACAGGAGGGTTTCGGTGACTTCTGGGAGGGTTTCCCGGGGGCGTTTGTCCCTCCGTCCGTGGGATGTGAAGGGGACACATGAGGGAAGGGAGGTAAGGGCAAAGGAAGAGAAGATCGTTGCTCAGAGCAGCTGTATTGGAGGCTGGAAGGTTCTCGGAGATTTTTACAATTCACCCAAGAAAACAGAGAACCCATGGGGACACACAGATTCGAGGGTCAGGGGAGGGATGGCAGGGTGGGGGGGTGGGCGCTGCTGCTGCTGCTGGGGAAGAGGGGGGGAGGACTTTGCGGTTTGAGGAGGATGGAAGGTAAGCGGTCAGAGCAACTGGAGAGGGCGAGAGGATGAGGAGAATACAAAACAGGGGTGAGACTATGAAGGGAAGGTTCGGAGGAAATGTGAGAGGGCGAGAAGCTGAGAAACTATCGTTCCGTGTTGCAAGCTCGAACACCCTTTCACCCTCCCTCTCACCCTCCCGCGGGAACAGGGGAGGTTCAGCGGGAGGGATCGCCGTGCTGCAAGCATAAACCGAACGAACAACGCTCACGTAGATTCTTAGGAGAGTCTCTAAGTTCCAGTGCTCAGAACAGGAGATAACTTCTGAGTCGACTCGGTAATCAACAGTGATCACCCTCATGCTCAGGTCTAAGTTCCGGTGCTTAGCAGAGGAGATGACTTTCATACTCAATGCTAGGACCAACAAAGCTCACCCTGATGCTCAGGTCTAAGTTCCGGTGCTTAGGAAACGCCTTAAAAGCCGCCACGGTGTAGCAGAGAGGCCCCAGGCTCTTCAGAGAGACTGCTGCTCGCCCCACACGTGCACTCCTGGAGGCAGCAAGGAGAGGAGCAGCAAACAGGGGTTTGAGAGAGAAGAGTGAGAGTGAGAGGTGTGGGGTGTGGTTGTCATGGGGTAGAACAGAGCCCCAGGGCCTCCAAGGAGACTGCTACCCCACACACACATGCCTAAAACTGGATGCAGCAAGGAGAAGAGCAGACAGAAGGGCGATTCAGAGGTGTGGAGAGTGGTTGCGATGGGTTAGCAGAGCTGCCAGAGCCTTCAAGGAGACTGCTGCACGCCCCACGCATGCACTCCTGGATGCGGGAAGGGAGGAGAAGACAGGGGGGTGATAGGGGACACAGATGTGGGGGGTGTGGCTGTGATGGGTAGCAGAGAGGCCACAGGGCCTACAGAGACACTGCTGCTCGCCCCACACGTGCACTCCTGGAGGCGGGCAGGGGGGCGACAGGGGAGGGTGGTGTGTGGTTGGTGTGTGGGGTGTGTTTGTGATCGAGTAACAGAGGGACCCTAGGGATGTCAGACAGACTGCTGCCCGCTCCACACGTGCACTCCTGGATGCAGAAAGCAAGGAGAGGAGCAGGCAGGGGGGAGACAGGGGAGAGTCGGATAGACATGGGCAGATTGACCCGACCCGTCGGGTCGAAGTCAGATAGACATGGGCAGATTGACCCGACCTGTCGGGTTGAAGTCAGACAGACATGGGCAGATTGACCCGACCCGTCGGGTCGAAGTCAGATAGACATGGGCAGATTGACCCGACCCGTCGGGTCGAAGTCAGATAGACATGGGCAGATTGACCCGACCCGTCGGGTCGAAGTCAGATAGACATGGCCGACTCGGGTGTTTAGGGTCGGCCCTTCCCGATCGGGTTTTTGAGTCGACACAAAAGTCAGAGAGATATGGGCAGATTGACCCGTCGGGTCGGGTCGAAGTCTTGACATGGCCGACTCGGGTGTTTAGGGTCAGCCCGTCCCGGTCGGGTCGGCCGAAAAAAAGGCAGCTTGTCGGGTAATAAAGCCCCGTCGGCTCATCAATTCAGGCACTCACAGGTGCACATCGGCCACGTTGATGAAGCAGCGATCCACGGCACAGGCAGGCAGCCGAACACAGCAACTCATCAACGCATGCATTAACAGGTGAACATGAGCTCAGCTCACAGGTGAGCTCATGCACTCACAGGTGCACATCGGCCACGTTGATGAAGCAGCGATCCACGGCACAGGCAGGCAGCTGAACTCGCCCCACGTCCACTGCCATGCGCTGCCCTGCGGTTAGGTTGGGGTAAAGGGCAACGGGGATAGCGGTTTGGTTTGGTGTGAAAGGGGTGATCGAAGAGCAGCAGGCAGGCAGCTGAACGCGCCCACGTCCACTGCCACGCGTTGCCCTGCGGGCAGAGCAGAGTGATGGAGAGCGGTGTGATGTGGTGAAGGGCACCGGCGAAAATGGGGAGTGGCAGGCTCGGCCCACGTCCACTGCCATGCGCTGCCCTGCGGTGATAGGAGAGTCAGGGGGGTGGGGGCATGAAGGGTCAGGGGTGGTGAGAGGGGGTGGTGAGGGGAGGGGTGATAGGAAGCCAGCGGGGTGGCAGCTGAACTCGCCCCACGTGCACTGCCCTGCGCTGCCCTGTGGCCGGGGGAAGGGGGGGGGAGACAGAGGGGTGAAGAGTGGCGTGGTGAGTGAGGGGCACTGATGAAAAGAGGGTGGCAGGGCGGGGCAGGTGATAGTAGCACCCCACGTTCACTGCCATGCGCTGTCCTGATGTTGGGTTGGGCGGGAGGGGGGAGGGTTAGTGCGGGGGGTTGATAGAAGAGCAATAAGCAGGCAGCTAAGCCCGCCCACATACACTGCCATGCGCTGCCTTGCTGTTGGGTTGCAAGCAGGGGGGAGGCAGAAGGGTGGAGAGGGGGATGGTGAGGAGGGTGTGAGAGGGGGTGCTGCTGCCGCCCAGATGTTGGCAGGCAGCAAAACCCATCAGTCCCATTTCCATGGTGGTGCTTCCCTAAGGTTGGCTTTAGGTGGGTGTGAAGGGTGAGCAGCAGAGTGGAAGGCCGCTGGATGCAAGAGGCACACAATAGAACGAGCCCCACATGCACACCTTCTCACCTTCCGCTGTTTCATACATACATCGTGAGTATTCTAGCGCACGCAGTGCATCATATTGCATCGCTGTTTGCAGTATTTTGCAGATCGTATTAAATTACAATGCTGTTTAAAGTGGTCGAACACAGCGTGCTTTTTGTTATATTGCATCACACCACACCACACCACACCACGCCGCACCGCACCACACCGCACCGCACCACACCACACCCACACCACACCACAACACATCACACTTCACCACACCACACCATACAAGGCCATACCTCGCACTATTCTTGCCACCGAACCCTTCACGTCATTGCTCCTCCTGCCGCGACATCAACAGCCACAACAGCAAATGTTTTGAGTCAACCATCCAAGCACCTCCCCCCTCTTCTGCTTCCCTTCGATAAGCAGCGGAGGTGGGCTGATGAGGGCTGTGCTGTGAGCCGCCCTTAAGGCATTGAGTGCTGGGTGTGTGCTGTGGTAAACCAACCAAAACTGATGCAGACGCGGTTGCTGAGTGGGTGGGTGAGTGCTGTGGTGAATAAATTCATGGCACGGACCAGCCGAAGGTTCGAGCAAAGTCGGTTCCGGTGCCAAGGGGGATGACCTGCAGACAGCGATAGTGGAGGAGAGAAGTGATTTGCAAGCAGCCGTGGTGGAGATGGTTCGGTGGCAGCAATGTGAAGGATTGAGGACGGGCGTGCGCTTTGAGTTGACTCAAAAAAATTGGGGGCGGGGCTGGGGCATGCAAGGGCTAGGTTAGGGTTAGGGGGCTGGGGGATGCAAGATTGTGCGCCGGCTAAGCGAAGGGTTAGGCTTTGACATACCGGAGCCAATTTCATGACCAGTGGCTCACTGACTGACTGACTGGCTGGTTTTTTAGTCGACTAAAAATCGACTTATCACACGAAGGGTTAGGCTTAAACATACAGGAGCCAATTTCATGACCAGTTGCTCACTGACTGACTGGCTGGCACTCTTGACCTTTGCAAGGCAGTTCAAAAGGCATCTCAGTTGGGCTGTTCGTTCCCTATGCTATGCTGTTGCACGATCATCTCCACTCCACTGCATGGTGTCTGTTTTCTCTGCACCTTGCCTCCATGTCCATCGCCATGCGTACCCCAAGCGCTGGTCTTCTGGAAACAGCATCAGTCGCTTCACTGCTGTTCTGCTCGCTGTCGCGTTGGGTATCCCGGTTTGAATGCTCTGACTGATGCTCTGTGTGCGTCCCTGACTGCTGCTCCTCTTCCCCTGCCCGTTGCCCTTGTTGCGCAATAGCTGCCCGAGGAACCACGGGCTGCCCGTTGGAGAAAAACCCGTTGACGACCTGTTGTCCGGGCGGGCAGGCAAGGCGCAAAGAAAGATGGGAAGCACAGCAGCTGAGCTTATTAGGGCCTTATGATCTTCTTGGGGCGGAATGAAGGGAGTAACATACCTCTCAAGTTTTCTTAACATGCAATCCGCATTCATTTCCGATCAAGCACAGCATCACAACACCCACGTATGTAAATCACCTGGAAAAACATACCGATTTGTCAATACTGGCATGTGCCCGGATTTCTCAATACTGGCATCAAAACAAAGGTATTAGTGCTGAACTCAACTCAGTCGAGAGCAGCGCCGGGGCGTGGGCAGAGGTGTGGGGACGAAACTTCAGGTCGAGGTTGGGTATTCTGAGGATGAGTCGGGTGTCAATGAGGATGACCAAGTCGGTAGGGGTAGGAAGACGAGAGAGCCACGATTTAAGTTCATCCATTTTTCGAGTTCCATTGATTCCGTTCACGTTGATGCATAGGATGCGGAGGTGTGTTAACATGGCAAAGAAGTGAAGGCCACCGCACGGGAGATCGTGCGTATCCACGGCCTAAGTACGAGTTTTTCCTGATGAGTGCAAGGGGTGGAGGTGAGGCCGGAGACGTGCCAGACTTCGTGAGGTTTGTGGTGCCGAGGCGTCATTGGGATGCATGTCTGCGTGATAGGAAGGCGTCCCGGTGGGTCCTTGAGTTCAAAGAGGTGCCGAAACAGTGCTTGTTTGTAGTTTGGGGTGCGTGAAGTATGTATGCGTGCTCCTTTTGTCCGAGAGTGACCAGAGCTACATCGCAGCTGCAAGGCTGACTTGAGGTGCACTAAGGTTGCAAGGTGCAGAAGAGCGATTGATTGGTGGGCTATGGGAGCTTGCGTGTTGAAACGGTAGTAAAAAGGTGTACGATCAGATTTCTTTCTTGCACCGAAGGTGTGCAGCGACACGCTATCATTCGTATGCTCTTTTGGTAGTTTGAAATGGCGGTAGTGTCCAATATAGTACCAGTAATCCTGTTTCCAGCTAAAGTTTGGACGTATGTTGCAGCTGAGCGTATAGACCGGGACAAGACTTAATGCACAAGAGCAAGTGAAGCATTTGAAACATAGAAACTTGTAGCGGTCTGATACACAATATCGTGGGGCAAACAACCAAGGGGCAGCAAAAGCTGCCGGGGGTGCAGGCAGAGGGAGATCGTTCTCCGACGGCAGAGATGGCGCTTGGAAACACATATAGCAAAGGCTTCTGCCAGGCACACAGAGTGACAGAGGGGCCAGGGAGCACCACGAGAGAGGGGATAGAAGGGGTGGAAGGTAGAGCGGCAAGGTAACGTGGGTTTCTGAGGGGCTTTGTGAAGGCGCCTAAAAAAACAGAAAGGGCAGAATGTAAAGTAGCAGGATAACAGGGCCGCCAGAGGGCCCAGGGTAAAACCAGGGAGGCATGAGGGGGGAAGGATTATCCCAGGGGACGGAGGGGCGGTGCAAGGGCGGGGTGGAGCAGGGAAGGTAGGAGATGAGGCAGCCATAGTGCGCCACCACTGGGGGAGGAGGCCGCCCCAGGGAGAGGGTTACGGGCGGCGTCATATGGGGAGGGAGCACGAGCATGGGAGGGGAAGAGGGGGGGCATCTGAGGGAGTGGGTGAGAGGTATGTCCCTAGCCGAGACCTTCAGCTACATCGAAAACCGGGAGGAAAGGCTATACAAGCGAACGGGGCGATCGTCCAAGCGTGCAGGCGCGAGAGGCAGGTTGAAACCAAGGGCCGCGAGTCACAGTGGATGGGGGGGGAGGTCAAGCAGGCCCTTGCAAGAGCAGTGACCAGGGCGGATAGGGCTGACCGGAGACATGAGGGGCTTCCCAAGTCACGAGGCCAAACGCAAACAGTGTCAAGTGCGAGGATGTGAACGCAAAGGCGTTGGCCACAGCGATTCACGGTAGACTGGGCGCCTAGTCGGCAGCCCGAGTCCGAAGGTAAGGCATATACGCAGGGGTAGAACGGCAAGGTGGGGAGCATCGAAGCGAAAGGGAGAGGGACATGGCGGAAACAGCGGGGAAGTAGTGGCTCTAAAGGGTGGGAGAGAGACTTGTATACTTCGAAAAAATCCGATGTGGAGGAGTACTATAAGGGTACATTCGTGGCCCGTGTCAGACTTCAGGTCAAAAGCCCTTAGTCTCCAATTTGGCTCACCCGAACTCGGATTTGCCTCACAAACGAGCCACTTCGGGTCTTCCGAGCCTCCCCTTCGGTTCTGACCTGATGTCTGACACGGGCTACGAATGTACCCTAAGACACTTCGACGTAGAACAGGGCAATCAGACACCTGGAGGCCAACCTGGAGAGAATGGTAATGAAATTCCACTAAAAGTGGCCCACTCGTAGAACACGGGGAGAGGGAGGGGAATGCAAAGCAGATCGGGGAGAATGTGGGTTGCGGAATCTATACGGGTCCCCTCGAAAACATCCTGGAGAGATCCGAGCTGTCTCAAAAATCACCCTTCTGTTTTACGGGCTGGTCCCAAAATCACCTTGTTAAAATCAGGGTTCCTCCAAAAATCACCTTATAATTTCAGTCAAAACAGGGTAGATGCCCTGATAACATAGGCCCTTCTCTGAAGCAACAGCAGCGCAGCAGGCGCCAACTGACTGTCGAAAAAATCTCGAGCGGGTTGCCCTCCCAAAACGATTTGCCAAAGCTGTTGATATGCGAGACCATCTGAAAGGAGATAATTGCGCGATTGGGTGGATTCACGATTCCGACATTTTTCGTCACAGCTTGCGGTTCAACTCAGCGTTTCGCTATTGCTCTACTCGCTAAAATGCCCGATTATACTTTCTCTGGGCTGTTGTTTAGATATATTATTTTTAGATGATCCTTGTTGTGAAATATCCTTTTTCTTAATCCCCTTTCTTCAAATATGTATTGTGTCACAGCCTACAAAATCAATGTTGCATATCTAATTCATAAGAATAATACGATACGTATTGGATGGATTATTAGTCCGCTAATTCGCAACATGAATACTGGTATAATGTTATGAGTTGTAAAACAGAGTTGAGCGGAAAACGAATACCTAAGCTGTGACTAACTGAACTGAGAATACCATGACAGCACGTGATATTACAGCGACTACCCTAGCTAGGCAAAACATCGGAAATACGAGGTTGGGTGCAGGTTTGGCGCAGGGAAACCGAAGGCGACGCGGAGTAGCCTCGGGATCGTGGATGTCGGCCGAACGTGCGAAGTATGAAAGTGTTGGGGTTGTACGCCGTAGCAGTCAAACCCGATAAGGAAAATAAAATTTCTTTACACTCCCCCCCCCCCCCCCCCCTTAAAAAAGGTGGTCAATGTTGTTACGATAAAAAAGTAGATCGCCCTAGGATGACCTCGGGAAGGTTCGCACACAACTGAGTGGTGGTGGTGGGCCCTTGACCTCAAATCAGAGTGAATGTAAAATGATTGAGATGATTAAAACATGCAAATACAAGCATATAAATATGAGTACAAGATGGAATGCGAAACGGCCTAACTAGCCATGTACTCTAATGGGTACATTCCCTTATTACAGCGAAATCCAACCGTGCGACTCCAGACGTT